TGTGTCACCACGAAAGGGTTAAATAGCACATGCGGAGGCATTGAATCCATTCACTAAAAGGTATACCATTCTTCACTGGAGAGAACAATTTAAGTAAATGCAGCAACTTCTCCAGAAATATATAAAAAATATAAAACATATTCATAAGATCTTGGAGCAGCATACCTTCAATGGATTAACAGTTTTTTTCCAATATATGCAGGAGCCTTCATACGATATCGGGAAAAAAATATGCACGATAACACAAGAAGAGTTATACCCTGTGTAAGGAAGAAAAAGGTCAAGCAACACATACACCACAGATAACTAAGAAAAGAATATAAAGACACTTCAATAACCACACAGGTCGAGCAAGACACTTGTTTGGTAAAAGCCAATCGCTTGTAGTTCCACAGGAAAAAAAAATTCATAGGTAATTTTCAATTTTGACATAATTGTATAAGAATTTGACCCAGTTATGCATAACCGTCAAAATAAAGAACAAGAAAGATGCAGAGCAACAGTGAATGGATACAGTGGAAGGCAATTGTGAAACTCACACTTTCTTTAACCCTCCAAGAAGCTTACTTAACAGTTAGCCACACTAGCAAGTCCACAATATGCATAAAGTAAACAAGGCAATGAAGCAGAACGATACTAATGGCATAAATGTTACCAAAGGTATTCACTAGTCCTTAGGAAGGCAGCCTCAAAAAAGTTCATCAAGAAATCAAGCAATTACAAGAAATCCTTTCTAAAGAGCCATATACTCTCACCTCGTAAATAACACATTCTGCACCACCAGATATGGCAGCTGCCCCAGAAAGAAATACTCCCTATCTTCGCAAGAATAAGCGGTATATTTTTCACACCACAAGGGTTTCTGTACAGTGTAAAGCAATATGGGAAGTCTCTTAAAAGCCTAATACTCAATTAGTGGTAATCTTTTTGCCTTTTAATTTCCAATGCATCCAAAAGGGAGAGTAAAATTAATACTACCTCGAGGAAATTCAGGACTAGCAGGGCAAGTAACCAAGAGACCATATAAAGTTTAATTTAATAAATATAAAATAAAATCTAGCAGAACTCTGAAATCTAGACGAATCGAGGATTTGCTCCGGGATGCCGACGCCGTCTTCAGCCTGCAGAATGCAACTCCAACCAATACAACGAGCATAAACTGATCAGAAAGGGAATATACATATTGATAATTGCCACTTAAATACAGAGATTTATGTCACTTCAATAGCAACTCAACAGCTATGTTGAAGTTAAGAGAACGCATTGGCTTGTTATTGAAGTTACCGCAACCAATGCAAAGTCCAAAAAAATAAAATGTCTAGTACCGGACAGAACGAAACATAAATGGAAACGAACTAACCAGATCCACAAGTGCTGCCGCTTTCACGGAGGGCGTGCCGTAGGCTATAGCATGTGAGCGATGATGGAAAATCCCAGGCGGTCGCATCCTCTGACCACTGCTTTCGCCTTTCAGCAAAGGCTCCATCTTTGCTTGCGAGTACTGTACAGAAGTCGAAGCTACCAGTTATGAGATCAAGCAGAGACTGACGTAAACTTTTCTTCTGGAATGAACTTTGTCACAACGAGGCCTCCACCTCAACTGAATCCGAAAGCGAAGTTTTTCCCCCTTTTTTTTTGTTCACCAAGCTGATGTAGACAAGTTCTTCTTTCTTTGTCTGTGTTTTATTTTGTTAATTAAATACGAGATCAAAGTAATAGGAATTCATTTTTCTCGGCCAGAATGAACGCCCATTTATTATTTAAGGATGGAAAAGAAAGGTGATAATAACACGGAAAAATAGTTCGTATGTGCTGGCAGCGCCCGCTATATATATATATATATATATATCTATATATGATGATTTATGTAAAATTGATGTGTCTGCAGCAGTCCGGTTCCGATTCCTATTAAATAATGTACTTATCTTGGCCTCCCGGTCACAGTGGACGCGGTCTGAATCGATGATGTATTAATATTGGTCCAAGTAAACAAAAATATAATAAAAAAGAATTGAGGATATATCCATATCACACGATGATGGGCCGGGTGTAACGTGTGGAGGCGAACTTGGATGCATAGAGTATTATTGGTCGCACCCCCCAGCTTAATCATATCCATGGGGTCGACTGTCGACATAAAAATAAAATTGTGAGATCAATTAACAACCTCAAATTCTTGACTTGTCCATCAGTTTGACGTCTTTCCTTCTTAGTTACGCGCACCTTTAAGAACGAGTTGCAGGATATACATTTGGACCCTTGAAAGTCATGACAGTTGTAAAGCAGCCAATCCCAATCAATGTCCTCCATAGTCAATACTGCCAGGAAGACCACGGTGCAGGCCCGAATATGGAACCCACAACGATGATCAAAACACCAACAAGACACTGTTACTTGAACCGCAGTTGTTGATTTATATGTATTAAACCCATTATCGGTTGGATACAGGGGATCTATAAAGAACACAAATGTCAACAGACGCGACTTTTATTTGGGAGCATCCTGTCAGGAAAGGACCATGAAGCATGCAAAGTTACCGTTAGTGTTGGTTTTGGATCACAGAAGATGCGCCCATGCATGCAATGATAGGTCAATCTCAAGGACCAATGGAACACTTTTTGGAGCTAACTTCAAATGAAAAGATAAACTTTTTGGAAGCTACGAAAATTGTTCGTTTGAATTGACAAGGATATGATTCTTGTTTTCTACGGAGTATCGATTGAAATTCTGCTATTAACCTGAAAATTCTATCAGCAATGGTTGGCTATTCACTCTCCATGGACAACCTGATAATCCCATCGAATTTATTACGAGGAGTCTTTTTTGCTTTATTATTCGTCTGTCTCAAATTATAAACAACACTAAAAAAATTTATTATATAAAAATATAAAATAATTTAATAAAATAAAATCTTATTAATACTATTTTTTTAATATTACACTTAAATTAGAGAGAATTTAAACGACAAAAAATATAGAACTATATTAAAAAAAGATATTTTAAAAGTTTATATATTTATTTTAAAAAATAAATTTATAAGTGTTATTATTAAATTTTATTGATAAATATAACTTGTCTCCAGTTATCTTATAGGGCATACATCAATGACCAGGTAGGTTAGGGTGATGATATATACAGAAGCAAGGCTTTGTCATTCTTGTTAATCAGAGTAAAGAATGATAATCCCATGTATGTCATACCATCTAAGTGCTTTAGTATTGCATTTTGCTCCAAAACTATTTCATCTTATCTTATTTATAAGGTAGAAAGAAATTTTTTTAAATTTTATTTATAAGTCATTTTATTATTTTTTATCACAAATTTTTTTCTTTGACTTTTATTAAATATTGAAGAGAGAAAATATGTTATTAAATATATATATTTAATAGAGATAAATTTAAAAAATTATTAAATTTTTAAATAAAGTTAATGAGTTTTAAGATTTTTTTAATTCTGATTAAATATGTTGAAAATGCTTTATAAATAATACTAGAGGGGGTACTCTGCTAATTTTTTTTTTTTGGCCAAGACTATGCTTAATTATATATCATTAATTCAATGGTGGCGTTTGGATCATTAATAAAGGAGCATTATTTTGTGGCAAAATCAACAGATCATGTTGCTCAGAGGTATTAAATAACTGTCATGCTTTTTGGTACATGCATTTTATATTGTTTTTTCTCCATTGTTGCATGCTGTGTTCACTTGGAATAACTAAGAGGTTGAGAAATCGACCTCTTTCCATAGGAATGGTAAATGGCTCATTAGTAGATAGAAACCAAGCAAATTAATTGCTTCTACCTAATTTTGCGGATCTTGAATCTTGTCAATACTTCATTGAGTCACAATATTTATTAGATGCTTCATGTCTCAAATTATAAGATATTTGTAAATAAAATTTTACATACCAATAAAACTCATTAATATATTTTAAAACCTTGCTTTTTGAAGAAAAAAATACACTCCTTTAATCATATTTGTAAGTCACTCTGACATATTTTACCAGTATCAAGGAAAATCTTAAAATTCATTAACTCTGTCTTAACATTTAATAAGTTCTTAACTTTACTCCTATTAAATATACACACTTTAGTAACATATTTTTTTATCTCCAACATTCAATGAAGGATAAAAAAATATAAGGATAAAATTTAATGATGTGATTTATAAAAAAACTAAAAAAATTATTCTCCTTTTGCCCTATTAATAGGACTAAAGGGACTACTCCCTCCATTTCTCCACAAGAAAAAAAAAACTGCTCGCACAATTTAAAAAAATTAATTAATTATATTAATTATGTCTTAACATAAAAGAATTGTACTACAATATCCTTTATTATTGTATTAATCAAGCCTTAATTAATTATTTATTATGGAGTATGAATAATAAAATATAAAGGGGTAATTTGAGAAGTTTGCAATAAATGGGTATTAAAAATGTGATTTTACTCATATAAAAAGTTAAAAGTGATAGTTTTTCTTATAAATAAAAACAGAGAGAGTAAACTTTCAAAAATGCCCTTAATTTAATACGCTATTGATAAAAGAATATTGAAAAAAAATATATAGAAGAGTAATATTAAAAAAGTATAATTAATAAAGTTTTATTTTTATCAAAGTTTTATATTTTGGGACGTTGAATCTTTTCTTAAAAATATCTTATAATTTAAAATAGAATGAGTATATTAACTAGTGTAACTTAAATTAGTCATTCGGTAGTTGGTTGTAGATATTCAATTTTTCTTAAAAAAAAACAAAATCACCAATCTTTATAGTTTTATCAAGTTTTATATTTAATTCTTGTATTTTTTTAATATTTTTAATCCTTATAGTTTCAACAAAATTAGGTTATTTTTATTACTTAAATCTTATAATTTCAATATTTTCATTGAAAAAATTATAAAAACTAAAAGTAAAATTCAATAAAATTATATGAACCAATAATTATATTTTTGATTTATTCTTTACTCGTGTACTTTGCACATATACCAACTTCATCAATGAACAAAGTAAGCAGATTCATTTTCATTTACCCTATTATTTTGAGTAATAACATTTGAGCTTGACCGTAATACTGTATGAGAAACAAGATATCTTAGGTTGTATCCTGCCAAAATATCATCTGATACATGCATTATATTAGTTATTAAATACTTCCACAGCCGTTACCAAATATCATATGGGAAGGAACCAAACTGACTCCCCTCCCCGGGGGGACGACGACGACATTACAAGAAAGGCAGACAAATTAGCGAAAAGAGCAAAACTGATGAGAAAGAGATTTTCACTTGAGATCCAACAGCGGAGGACTCTTTCCCTGAAGCTTAAAAGCGCTATTTTCAAGTTTTATCTACTTGAAGAAGAGGTAAGATGCTGTAAATGGAATGAAAAAGAAGAATAATATATATAACGAGTGCAATAAAAACCAGAGGCCAAAGCTCCTGTCACTTGATGGCAAAATTTGGGTACTTGACCACATAGTGGCAGCCAACCAGCATAGCTATTTCCTTTCTTGCCTACATAAGCCATAGCCAATGCGGCAGATACGCTTGAGGTGAGTAATAACGTGAACACCTGCACAAAACATTAACCCGTCATTGTATAGCTCTCATACATAGCTTCCTCTCACAATTATATCATCTAGCAGCCTCTTGAAAAATTTCTCAAGACATGATCTATCAGCTGATTGTGTAATATACAAGCTAGTGAAAATCCACAAAAAATGGTGATATTAGTACTGTACGGTCGAGGTGGTTACCATATCAAAGAAAATGACGAATTGAGAGAGAGAACTTCCGGAGGGCAAAAAGGGACCAAGAATCCGTAGACGGCCACTACAGAGTTGGCAATTACAAAGTACCTAGAAAAAGTTTTGGTATACATAAACCAAATAGTCAGCTTATGAATCAAGGAAACGATTCTGCAGAACAATGAAAGAATCAATTGACAGTGATAGACACTTACTTGAAGGCAGAGGAATGGGTGTACTTTGCTTCCAAGGATACCGTGAAGAAGCTAACTGTTTCGTGGCTAGTAGCCATGACAATGATGGATGAAAGGGTCGCACCAAAGGCCAGGACCCTTAACAGAAGGTGGCAGACCCTCGTAGTTTTGGCCATGGACTGTACAATGAATTGTGGCTTCAGAGGATGATTCAGTTTAATCGATGGGATTTTAAGGAATATGCAAGTGAAGTAGAAAAGGATAATAGGAACGAGTTATTAGGCTGAAGCAGAATAATGGTCGTCGACTTGACAACTAAGTACTTATTTCTTCACTTCTTTGTGGCGATGTTAGGTGAAATATACTCATCTATGTCGCCGTCCATGGAAGTTTTTTTCTACTTTTCCTGCTGTGTCGACCTTATAGTGTTTGTAGGCTATTATTTATTCTAATCCATTTTTCTTGATATAGGTCATCTACAAACGTGAGAAATAGTAGTTTGTATGTCATTTTCTGCTTCAGTCATCCCCCATTAGTCAGCGTTTTCTTTCCCTTTTGCTTTTGGCAGCCAATTGTCATTTTCTTTATATCCTAATATACTGGGAAAAAACAGCGTGCATAAACGCGTGTTTTTGGCCATGTGTCTCTTTTTCACTTGTGCTTTGTTCACCAACCGAAAAATTTAATCCTCTTCCCTTACCTCTCCTGCAATCCATTGGTGGTTCCAGGCAATGCTGAATATTTCTGCGTGAGCCGAAGTTGTTAGAATATGCAAAACGAAGTCCAGGCAAATTACAGTTATCTTTTCCAATTCACGAGGCGAATTATTACGGAGTTTTAATGTTTATCAGCCAGGGATTAATAACCTAGTTCAGCTTATTCCATACCTTCAGATGGGAAATCAGTTTGTAGCCCCCCAACCCAAAAAAATGGCTCGTTGTTTTAGCTTCATGTACATGTTCTTCCAATGATGCGTAAGTATGTCTCAGTACCTTGTGGTCGAGGAAAAAGAACACTCGTAGAATACTGTCTCAACTAACCGTATTTAGCCTTGACGTGGCTAATTTGAACTCGATTTGCGTCAAACTGGGGTAACATGATATGCGCTTTTTGGATTTTGCAGTAGTCATGGAATTTAAGGCAGTGAATAAAGGAGTAATTATCTTGAGCTGATGAAGTATTTCTATGTTCATATCTGTTTGTGCGTCTGACAAGTTTGTAGATTCATTGACCCTAGAACGAATAATATGGCTATACAAGCCTTTGTGGTAAATCCTGAATCAAGGAACTTTTTACAAGCCTCTTCTGTTCGTGATATGAGCACCTAAAATTGATAAAATCTCAACTACAGCCTCATATAAGCCACTTGAGTTAATTAGTTTTTAAACCGGTTTTGTCTTCATGCCTTGCTTTGTCCAAAATCTTAATCAGCCGATGTCTTGCCATCGCGATAGCCTATAGATGCCAGGAGAGGAACTTCAATCAGATTCCAAGATATGATTTGGTCTTCCGGGAGATATATTGAAGTCTTTGATCACTGACATATGAGCTTGATGAGTCTGATTTCATTGTCGATTACGCTCTGCTAAATGTTGATGTAGTGGATTTCGTCATTTCCCCTTCGGATTTTCACCTAGCAGTGGACTTTCCGTATTGCACTATCAATTCTGGGATTTCAACGGGAAATGCAATTTAACAAAAGGGCAGATGAGCAGCTTCATTTATAGCTGCAATTTTTTCCTTGCATAATTCTTTTGGCTGTGCGTGCCCTAAATTTCAATTGGTAGGAGCGTCTAGGCACGCATCAACTAGAAAAACATGCTGTCTAACATTTGTGGTGCACCATTAGTCCAGTCAGCTAACCGTGCAATCAGCCATTCGCGTCCATTCCTCTTCTGGGGGGCCAACGATCAAGCATATATATAGACACACACATATTCCAAGACAGCAATCAATCAATCACCTTCTTTCCACGTTCAATGATGCAAGCAGAAGTGAGAGAATGAATGCGGAATCATGGGGTTTAAATCTGGATTGAAATTCTTTGGAATCTTAATAAAGACAATTCATTGATTATAGGTGACTTAATCCTGTTTGTTTGGGGAAAAAATAATGATAAGTATGTTATGTCAACTAGCTGGGGTTTGGTTGTTTAAATCTAGAAGCAAAGCAAGCATATGATGCAAGGAGTAGTCTTTTCGTCCAGTTATGCTGTGCAAACCCAATTTCTGTGGGAAAGTGTAGGTTCCAACAGTTTTGAGGGATTTAAGGAACATAAAAATGGCATGCAGTTTAGTTGTTCAAGCTTTTTATCAACAGCTCTAAGAACTGCGACCTATAAAAACCGACATGAGCATTAACCTCTTTCTACACTCAGAAGAATGGCTCGCATCGCGGTTATTTCAAATAATGTTGGTAGTGGTAAGTGGATTAGACATAGATGAGGCATCAAGAAAGTAGTAGCAGAGCCAGGTGATGTATATTCAACGTGTGAGCGTATATTTGAATACTTCAATTATTGCTTGGAATTCCTGGTGGGGGATCCAGCTTTTGAGAATCCCCCGAAAAGATGTTGCAGCCACGTAGAGAAGCTTAACATATTAGCACATCACAGAACAGGTCCTCGCAAGATTTGCTGGTGCATTCAGCTCATGGTGAAGGGGATTGCACCACCTTTGATTCCCTACAAAATTGATGATCTCCCTGTCCTTTGCGGTACCCATCTCAGTTTCCCTATTTCTGATAGCATGGATTGCTCAACGTAAGGATCTTTTTATTCAAGTGCTGATTTTTGTTAACTATTTCGTGTTTAGTCCAAAGAGAACGAACTTTGTCATTCATATATGATCGACTCATTGATGCAGCTTCCATTTTTGCAGGGTTGGTTGAGGCACATTATCTGTACTATGCACACCGCTGGCTATAAAGTTAGTTGCATTTATGATATTAACAAAAGTTGCGACATAAAACTATGATAGTCATCAAATCCAATTTGGATTAGAATGTCAATTTAAATTGGATTACCAAACTGCACTTGTATAACCAAACTATAATATTGGTAGCAGAATGAGGTAAGTCTCACTGTGTGGACTACCACTTACTGTGGTTATTAGTTTGTTTTGATAAAAAAGAAGATTCAATTCACATATGCGATCCAAATATCAGTTGAGTTACAGTTTTCCTGCCGCTATTGGGATGGCAAAATAGGATTTTGGTCATTCCATTAAAATTAAAAATCATACAAAAACAGAGGAATAGTTTAAAAAAAAAAAAGCAGCAATTTAACCAATCCCATCATCAGCCATTGCTAAAACATTTCCATCAAAGCAAGCAAAGGTGAGTGACATGGGTAAATTTAATTAGTATACTAATGAAAAAGCCACCTGCGAATCAGTTTCTTCTTTAACATCAATTCTGTCACAATCGAGCTCAAGCCATCTGAAATTGTGAGAGAAGTGAAATTCCTCTGCCTAAGAAAAAGTACCTGGTCCTTTTCATTAAAGGTTATAACCTTTTGTTTTCAATCAAAACGCACGGAAGGATTTGTGCAAGAAAAACATGATCAAGTTATATAAAAAAAAATAAACAAATTTACGCCCTAAAAGTGTATCATAGAAATTCTGATTCAAAAGTACCGTGAAATGCATGATGATTCAATTGATATATTTATTAATTTCTTTGTAAGAATAGTTTAAAATGATGATCCAGTTTTGCACAAGTATATCTCTCATATCTAATCAACACATTACACAACATACACACATCACACCTCTGGAAGAAAGAATATCTCCGCAAGGAACAAGGAAACGCAAGCCTCGTGTCATGGCATAAGATAACATGGACATTTATTTATGCTAAAACAATTTTTAAAGAGTTGTATATTTAAAATGTAAGGCATATTTAATCTTTTAACGTATAATTTTTTTTAAAATGCCTCAATTGATAATAATTTTATATTTATTATAGGATATTTAATAGTAATAAATATAAAAAAATATGATTAACTTAAAAGTAAATAATTATTTTATTGAACGATGAGATATGATTAAAAATATTTATATTTTTAAATGAAGAGGCTACCTATTTTGGTATGGTATCATATCATCCACCATTCCATTGATGTAAGGTGCTAAAGGTAAGGTAGTATTCCTTACTTTAAAGCTTAAACAAAAGAACCTTTTGGTAGAAATTTTATGTCCACATGTGCTGGGACATTTAAAAGAAAGGTGCAAAAATTTACATTCAGAAAAGACACTCGAGATAGAGACATTGCTTTTACCAGCATCCTATATATTCTTAGAGATTAATATCTTCAAAATAAAATTAACTTTCTAACTCAAAAAGGAGATAGAGCAACAACTAGATGGTTTGCTCCTGAAGAAAGTCGGGTTAGATTGGATACCGATAGCTCTGTCAACATTCACGGTGCAACTAAATGCGGGGGTCTTATTTAAAACAATCAAGAAAATTGGATCAATGGTTACTCTAGATACCCAGGTTATTATCCAAGTATGGCTACTATGATTTATGTGCATCCTGAAAGGTTTAAACATTTGTTGGTTTAAAAAATTTAAGAAAGTTAATGTCTAAACTGACTCTACAGAAGCTCTCTTGTTAATCCACAATGAATTATCTACTACCTACCCACTCACTATTATCATTAATAAAATCAGAGACTCCACTATACGCGAGACTAGACAATCACATTTGACTACACTTTTAAGGAGGCAAATAAATGTACCATTGGTTATCTCATCAAGCTTATACTGACAATTTATTATTCGTATCTTTAATATCCCGCCGTCTGATTGTTGTAATATTTTATACACTAATATAACCCATCTTATTAATTAATACGGTTTATTCATAGCCTTTCAATTAAAAAAAAAAAGGCTTGGACAAAAGAAGGATGTTGCACGATTTTTTATAAAAATATTATATCTGTGTGATAAAAAAATCTCAGAAATATTTTAAAAAATTATTCGATGGCAATTTTTCTCTGGCCACGCAATGAACGGAGCGGAGGATAATACGGTAAAAGGCAAGAGTTGTTTCCAAATTGCAACCGTCGCTCCAACAGCAAGCGTCTGCCGAACGTCTCGGACCTGAATTAAAGAATAAACAGCTGCAAAGAAAATGGCTTTAGGTGGTCGGTTAGATCGCCACCACACACGTGTCACTCTATCATCCTGGCTCCCCGACATCATTGGCCCCATCAGATTCACGCCCAACTCCACATTAAAAAATGTCACGCACTACCCAATCTGCCCTCGTGTCCTCTTCTATTTAAATTTGGCTTCTCTTCATTTTTTTCTTCTTTTCACTTTCCTTTTACTTTTCATCTCAATTATTGAATTCATTTTTAAATGATTGAAATTTGATATTTCATGAAATTATTATTAATTTAATAATAATTTCATGAAACATCAAATCCCAACCATTTAAAAATGAATCCAACGATTGATATGAAAAGTGAAGAGAAGATAAAATGGAGAGAAGTCAAGTTCAAATAAAAGAAGACATGAGGGCAAATGGGTAGTGCGTGATTGAAGAGAAGCTGGGTCCCTTCTATTTACAATAGCAGCATTGCGTTTCTTTCTATCCTTAAAATGGAATTCATTCGTGTGAATCACATCGCTTGACAATTATGCGTTCAAAAAAACTTGCGTGGCACGCTTTTTATATTTAAATGCTAAAATGAGAGAATATTTTTTGAAGGAGAGGGGCAAACTCGTAATTTAAAAAGAAGAAAGAGGGGATAAGCTTTCTTGGCCGTCCACAAGGGATTGTTGCCGCGTCGTTGGTCATCATGCAGAAAAGAAGCACGAAGCCACAAACCCTGAGGAGCCCCACCTATATATGTGTGTGCCGTCAAACAATTGTAGCAATCTACATTGTCTTTCTCTCTCCTTATTGCTTTCCGTCTTTTCCGGTGAGAAAATCAGATCAAGTATCTATACACAATGAAGCTGTCTGGCCTCCTTGCGGCCACCGTTGCTGCCACTGTCGTCTCAGTTTCGTGCCCCGCGACGATTACTCATCAGGTACCGTTCAGCTTCGCAATTTGTGGCGGGGATTCCAATTTCTTGCGAGTTTCCCCGCTTGATTGAGACTAGACTAAAAAATTGGGATCTGAGATTTTTGTGCTGGATTAGTCCTTTTTTTTAACAATTTCTTGCGTCTGTCTGTTTGTTGATTTCCTGTCGGAAAACTGATTTCAAAGACTTTTTGTTTTGCAGGATGGTTTGGCTGTGAACGGCCACAAGGAATCCTCGTCGGTGAGGTCATCATCGTCGGGTAACAAATTCGTGCCGAAATTTGACGGTTTGCGATTTATTGAAACGTTGGTCACTGCGCACAGATGAACCCAGAGCTTCTGGTTATTTTATTGTCTCGCGTTTTTATCATCTCTCCGTGGTTTTGGCCTCGAGCTGTCTGCAGACTTAATCTGATTTTATGGGCAGAGAGCTCAACTTTTTTTCCCATGTTTCGCAATTTTTCCCTTATGATTTCTAGAGTGAGAAAGAGATAAATGGTAACACTCCGGAATATAAAAAAGAAAATTCAAAAATGAAAAGTTTCTGGTTTTTCCCCTGCTTCGTATGCGTATCATTGTATTTTGATCTCTGTTTTTATCACAGTCCAATCGACTTTTATTTTTTGGTGAATATGAGAGCTTTACAATCAGTGGTCAATTACTCAAATTCATGGTGGAAAGAACTCATGTGATATTGTCTTTGCCTATAATCATGAACGGATCCTAGGAGAGCAGGGAGGAAAGGGAGAAGTAAGAAATGGGCGAGCCCATTTGGGTATCAACGCGGTTTTTAATGGAAAAACAAATTAAAAGTGTGTTTAGATTTTAATAGGAATATAAAAATTAATTATATAATAGATTTTAATTAAAGTGATTATATTATGATGTGAAGGTGTTTGAATGATAGTTTTTAAAATTAATTTTGATAAAATTAAAGAATTTTAATGATTTTAATTTAAATTAACTTTAGATGTGTAAATGACAATAAAAGACATGAGTTTTAGGGGAAATAAAATTGCGTATGATATTATTAAATTTATTTTGATTTATTTAATAAAATATAATAATGATACATTTACTGTTTTAAAAATTGTTCAGCACACATATATTGATAAGTAATATAAATTTAAATTAAATTTTATTATAAATTTATAAATGTTAATATTTAACAAGATTTTTTTATCAATGTTACAGTTTTTTTTTAATTTTTCTCACGTTTAATGTTTTGTTCTCTTTAATAATAAATAATAAATATTTTTATTTCTTTTTTTTTTTTTGTGTAGAAACTTTCCTTTTTGTCTCGAGCTGAGGCAGTCACTTTGTTGATTTGTCACAGTTCACACTCTTTGAACATTAACGTCCAGACGAAGCCAGGGACACACTTCGTAGGTTAAAAATTCTGACAAGCAATAAATGCTCAAAGGGGTATAACTGAAATTGACAAGCCGGTGAGAATAACTTAAGCAAAAATGTGATTTGGGTTTGGGGTAATATAATCAATTATGCAAAATGGAGGTGCTTGAATATTTTTCACCAAAACTTTATTTCTGGATAGATAATTGATTCTCATGGCCAATCCACAGAAAAACGAATCATAGAAAGTACAGTGGGATAGGATAGCTTTTTGAAATTCACGAACTTATGACTATTAATTAATTTTATCATATGAAGAAAAATAATGTTTAGCTTGATGAATCGTAAAAAAAAAACTATGCTAAGCACAGATTTTTTTTAAAAAAGAAATAGGTTGATTGTTGGTTGACCCAGGTTTGATGAATCGTCCCACTAACCTGACTCAGGTTCTTTGCTGCCTACAATGAAAGCTACTGAGTATTGATTATGCAAATAGTGCATAAAGTATCGCTTGGGATGGATGCTACAGTATATTCTTTGTAGGGATATGGAATCATGAGTCATGGGAGGGAAGTCCTTCAGGGGGAAGATAAACATGCAAAGACCTCCTTTATCAGCTGATCACTTTTGGCCAGGAAAGCAACAGCGCATCAGAATTTGAAAGAACCCAACCAAGCCACTCTGCCCTCTCGGCCAAGCAAAAAGCCTGTCCTTATCCCGTAAACTACTATATG